ACATACTCAATAAATATGGTGGTCAGGAGTCTTATCTATGTAATGTAACTAGCTCAAAGGATACGGGCTTTTTGAAGGCTCGATAAGCGATAAAAATTTTAATGTAATCTTTTTCTTTTCAAAAGAATTAGATTTAAAGTCATGCATACTGTACAAATTATGTTGTTCGAATCCAAATCATGCCGAAAAAATTTGAAGAGTATTTCATATAATCTTTTAGATAATAAATAACTAAAAGATTCCTTAAAGATTATATATATATATATTTATTTCACGGAAATATGAAAAAATCTAATTAATGCAATCAAAATAAATAATGCACAAGGTAGAGTTGGTCTATATTATTTTCGTACATGTGTTTTAATCTAAACCGACATCAAAAGTGAACATTAAATTACAAATTTAGTACAACATCATACATGAAGGAAGAATCCACTTATTCATGGAGTGTCCCTGATCATAATGGAAGTAGCTGAGGAAGAAGAAGAAACAACGTTGTTTGATATTGATTCTGCTGATGGTTTCTGCGTATTACTGCTTGAATTTCTCTTCTGCTTCCAGATTCTCCTCAAAGCAGCAGTGCTACTACCGTAGGACGACATAAATGAACGTATAGGGCCCTTAAATGTGTTTGGGGAAATAAACAGAGTACGAGTAATTTCCCTATAACCAGATTAGTGAGAATGCAAAATAAAAGCGGAAAAATAATACTCGAAATTGATAACGGAGTTCAGCCAATTTTGCTTACGTCTCCGGACTGCTACAAATCTTTTACTAAGAGAGAAAATTTACAGGTGTTTACAAAACACTCACTACTCACAAGAAAGCTCTCTAGTATTGGGAGAAAGAAAATGATTTTGGGATTTGAGATGATTTTGAAGCTAAATGAGCTAGGGTATTTATAGTTGAAACTTAGGAACTAATCTTTGAAAATACCCTAAAGTACAATGACTAAAGTGAATTTACCCATTCATATTTTCAACAAACATCTACCAAACTTTGAAAAACATTTTTCAAAGAAACATTTACCAAACTTTGAAAAACATTTTTCAAAGTTGGTTGCCAAACTTTGAAACTGACTTTTAAAAATCTCCCACTTGAAGACTGATTTTAATCTGTCTTCACACCTCGATCAATGCAGTAGTATTTCTGGTCTTGTTATTCTAGCATGCCAACTGAAGCTGAACACAACTTCAGTTTGTCCGTAGTCACCATCTTTGTCAACATGTCTGCCGGATTTTGAGCTCCATTAATCTTTTCAAGTTTCAAAATCCCATCTTCCAGAAGAGATCAGATAAAATGACATCTCAATTGTATGTGCTTCTTTCTGGAATGAAAAGACGGATTCTTTGCTAGATGGATAACACTTTGACTGTCGCAATACAAGATATTGTTTTCTTGTTTCTTGCCTAACTCTTCCAATAAACTTTGGAGCCAAACCATCTCCTTGCTGGCTTCCATAACAGCGACATATTCTGCTTCAGTTGTGGAGATAGAAACTATCTTCTGTAGTTGAGAAACCCAACTCACTGCAGTTCCTCCTAGAGTATAGACATACCCTGTAGTGCTCCTTCTGATGTCAATATTTCCGGCTAAGTCAGCATCTACATAGCCTGTCAGTATCGTATCTCCGCCTTTGAAACAAAGTGCTTTGTTTGTAGTACCCCGCAGATATCTGAAGATCCATTTGACTGCTTCCCAGTGTACCTTGCCCGGATTATTCATGTACCTGCTAACAGCTCCCACTGCTTGAGCAATATCTGGTCTTGTACAAACCATGACATACATTAGACTTCCAATTGCTGAGGCATACGACACCTTCACCATGTGTGCACGTTCTTCCTCCGTCTTTGGTGATTGTTCTTTGGAGAGTCTAAAATGAACACCTAAAGATGTACTTAATGGTTTAGCATCTTGCATGTTGAACCTGGAGAGTACTTTGTTGATGTACTCAGCATGTGATAACATCAAAGTCCCTGACTTTGTGTCTCTCTTGATCATCATCCCAAGAATCTGCTTTGCAGCGCCCAGATCCTTCATAGCAAACTGCTTCGACAATTTTTTCTTCAAGTGTATAATCTCTTGCATGTTTGAGCATGCAACGAGCATGTCATCAACGTACAACAATAAAATAATAAAGCTATTATTGAACCTCTTGATGTAGCAACAATGATCTGTTTGGCATCTGGTAAAACCACTGCTACCCATGAAGCTATCGAACTTCTTGTACCACTGTCTAGGAGCTTGTTTTAAACCATACAAGCTCTTCTTCAACCTGCATACCAAGTTTTTCTTGCCTGCCTCTATGAAGCCTTCTGGCTGCCTCATATAGATTTCTTCCTCCACATCACCATGAAGGAAAGATGTCTTTACATCTAACTGCTCAAGATGTAAATTCTCTGCAGCTACAATTTTCAATACCAGTCTGAATGTAGACAACTTCACGACTGGAGAGAAATTTCATTGTAGTCAATACCTTCTTTTTGTTGAAAACCTTTGACAACCAATCTCGCTTTGTAGCGTTTGCTCCCATCGTGCTCTTCCTTGATCCTGTAAATCTACTTGTTGTGGAGCACTTTCTTGCCTGGTGGTAATTCAACTAATTCCCACGTCTGATTTGACATAAGCGAGTCCATATCATCTTTCTTGGAAGACTCCCACTTGACCGAATCCTCCACTTGCATTGCTTCATCATAGCACTCTGGTTCACCATTATCAGTCAGCAATAAGTAGTACAAAGAAGGAGAATACCGTTGGGTTGGTTTAGTAATTCTGGAGGAGCGTCTCAGTTCTAGTGTGCCTAGTTCTTCTTGAACTGCTTCAGGATTGATCTGAACATCATTTCTAGAAATCTCCTCGAACTCAGCAAATTCCTTTATTTCAGCTTCGGTGTTTGAGCTACTTGATTCTATAGTTGATCTGTCTTTGTACATCACATTCTCATTGAAAATAACATCTCTGCTTCTGATGATCTTTCGATTTTCATAGTCCCAAAACCGGTAACCGAACTCATCACCGCCATAACCAGCAAAGGCACATTTGTTGGACTTAGCATCAAGTTTACTTCTTTCAACAGAGTCTATGTGTACATAAGAAATACAACCAAACACTCTTAAGTGTGAAAGGTTTATTTCTTTCTTGCTCTAAATTTCCTCTGGTATTCTACCATCTAAGGGAACTGAGGGCCCATGGTTGATCAGGTAAGCTGCAGTGTTGATAGCTTTAGCCCATAGCAATTTGGGCAAGCTGGCATGTATCCTCATGCTTCTGGCACGTTAATTCAGAGTTCTGTTCATGCGTTCTGCTACGCCATTCTGCTGCGGTGTCATGGGAACTGTTCTCTCCATTTTGATCTCATTGTTTGCACAGATCTTTAAGGTTTCATCATCAGCTAGATGAACCTTCTCAAAATCACCACTGACATAGTTCTCCATGATTTCTCGGCATGGGGTGGAGTGAAAAGATGCTCCTGAATCCAAGATCCATGATTCAATCAGACTGTCGACGCTTAGAGTCATGGCATCACCTGTATCTTCTGTCACGTTGGCAGATTCCTGTGCGCCGATATTTTTCTTCGGTGCTCGACAATCTTTTTTAAAGTGACCATTCTTGCTGCAGTTATAACAGGTAAAATATTTCTTTCCTGTTCTTGATTTTCCCCTTCTGGATTTGGATCTGCCATGATTTGAATTTCTTTCTGAAGCTCTCCCTCTGGACTTCGTGTGCAAGGCTGAGGAGGTTGATGCTTCACCTGATTCTCTCCATCGAATTTCTTCACTCAATACCAGATCCCGTGTATCGTCGAATTTTAATTTGTTGTTTCCCGACGAGCTGCTAACTGCTGTAACAGTAGCATTCCAACTGTCTGATAGAGATGATAAGAGAATTAAAGCTCGAACTTCATCATCGAATTCAATTTCTACTGAACTCAACTGGGTTGTGATTGTGTTGAGTTTATTTAGGTGTTGAGCCACTGATGCCCCTTCCGCCATCCGCAAATTGAACAATCGCCTCATCAAATGAACTTTGTTTGAGGTCGATGGCTTCTCATACATACTGGAGACAGCCACCATAAGACTCGTCGTGGTCTTTTTCTTTGCTATGTTGAAAGCAACATTGCGGGATAACGTTAGTCGGATAACTCCGAGGGCTTGTCTGTCGAGAAGAGCCCAGTCTTCATTCTTCATGCCCTCTGGTTGCTTTCCTGAGAGAGGTTGATATAGATTTTTCTGGTACAGAAAATCTTTAATCTGCATCTTCCAACAGCCAAAGTCTGCACCATCAAACTTTTCAATTTTCACCTTCCCTTCGTCTGCAGCCATCGCTCCCACTCGAATCTGGCTTCTTTAGATCGTTCTGACACTTTTCACGAACCGCCGTGTATTAGAACACCTCCGTCGACAAATTCGTATCGTCGACAAAATTTCACTATTCACAAAATTCACTATTCACATTAATAGTAATGAATAGTAACCTCACAAAAATTGACAAAATTCACAATCAAAAGCTCTGATTACCATGTGTTGGGGGGAAATAAACAGAGTACAAGTATTTTTCCTATAACCATATTAGTGAGAATGCGAAATAAAGGCGGAAAAATAATACCCGAAATTGATAACAGAGTTCAGCAAATTTTTCTTACGTCTCCGGACTGTTGCAGATCTTTTACTAAGAGAGAAAATTTACATGTGTTTACAAAACACTCACTACTCACAAGAAAACTCTCTAGTATTGGGAGAAAGAAAATGATTTTGGGACTTGGGATGATTTTGAAGCTAAATGAGCTAGGGTATTTATAGTTGAAACTTAGAGACTAATCTTTGAAAATACCTTAAAGTGCAATGACTAAAGTGAATTTACCCATTCCTATTTTCAACAAACATCTACTAAACTTTACCAAACTTTGAAAAACATTTTTCAAAGAAACATTTACCAAACTTTGAAAAACATTTTTCAAAGTTGGTTGCCAAACTTTGAAACAAACTTTTAACAAAATGAACCTAAAAATAATCTGAAACCGACATTTCTAACTCGAGAATGGGCAGCGAAACCTCAAAATTAAGCATGCTGATCACTTGTTTCATGGAAGGCCGGGAACTGCAATGCGGGTGAGCGCAACATAGCCCGATAATCGTCAACCGTTCTATCTGTTGCTTGTCGAAGTTTCCCTCTAGTCGTGGATCGGCTGCTTCGATAAGTTTTCCTCTTGCATAGAGTCCCCAAAGCCACTCCACTTTGTATATTTGATTCTCGTCCGCGTTCGGCGTTATCGGCTTTCGTCCGCAAACGATCTCCAAAACGACGACACCGAAGCTATAAACATCTGCTTCTTGGCTAGCTCGACCTGTTAGAGCATACTCTGGAGCCATATACCCGAATGTCCCGCCGATTTTCGTGCTCTGCAGTGCTTTCTCAGGGGACACAATCCGAGCCAAACTGAAATCTCCAAGTTTGGCATTCAAATCTGAATCTAACATAACGTTGCTTGCCTTTATGTCCCTATGTAACACACAGGGTTCGCATTCGAAATGCAAGTAATGCAACGAATAGGCCAATCCTTGGGCAATTTTGTACCTTTCGGGCCACATTAACGACCTTTCTCGATTGAAAAGATGTGAATCGAGGCTTCCGTTACTCATGAACTCATAAACAAGGAGTAGTTCCTTCTTTTCATGGCACCAACAGATTAGTTCCACCAAGTTCTTATGCCTCAACCGGCTTGTGATCGTTACTTCCGAAGCGTACTCCTTCACGCCTTGCCGAGACATCGTCGATATCCTCTTAACCGCGACCTCAGAGTCGACATCTTTCAAAGATCCTCGATAAACCGAACCAAATCTTCCCTCTCCAAGCTTCTGTCCTTCTGCGAAGTTATTGGTTGCCTTCACTAGTTCTGCATATGTTCTTTTCTTGGCTCCGGTAACACTCTCGAACTCGTCGTCCATTGACCGGAGAGCAAATCGTTCTTCTTCTTCTCCATTGATCCTCTTCTTGATGATCATGTATAATCCACCGAGCAATATGAATGAACCAAGAACAGCAAATCCCACCACAAGTCCTGTTTTGATTTTACCTTTTTTGTTCCCAGAAATCCGTAAATGAGAACTGAAACTCCATGAATGAATCTTGTTCGACTAGTGGTACATCCCCGTCGCCGATGCGAAGCCGAAAGTTGTCCATTCCGACAAGTAGTCCTTCAAATCAACTTCATACTGCAAACTCTGTCTGATGGTGGTATTAAACCAGAACCCTGTGAATGAAACATGTAGAATCTTGGAACTGGAATCATAATTTATCCAAGCATCCATTATTCTCCCATCCAAAACACGGTGGTACTCGAAACCAACGAGTTGACATCAATGCCGACATGGTACTGAAGTGAAGCAATGAAAAAGGCAAACCCTTCGGCCGGGGTAACGTTGCTTTGTTTTTTGATGGAGAAGGAGAAATGGGTGGTGAAATCCGCGAGGGTTCCCAATGATTTGTCCCAAAGATGCACTGGCCGAGTATATATAGCACGGCCGCTCCTCCAAGTGTCGAGTTTGGTGAGTTGGATCACTGACTCCATTGGAGCAGCGTCGCCTTTGTAGGTTATATCAACATTGCTGGAGTTAAAGCCGGTGAAGTTGAAGGATAGTGGAGCTGCTGAAGGTAATATTGCCATTAGAAACAAGAACTTAACATCCATGATCTTAAAATATGAAGAAGAAAAGGGAAGAAGAAACTTTCTTCCAAGATGATAATTTGAGACTCTGGATCGTTTAATAATGATTTCAAACTTAAATGGCTGATTGAAAGATATCGAACTTAGCGGGAAATGTCAATGTCTTTTCCAAATGTTGACGAGGGCCTTGGGAGTGGAACGCCTGGAAAGCCATTAGCGTAATCAAGGTGTATTTCACACAATAGTTTAAATGATTTATTTGCCAAAGTCAAATCCATTTCTTCTGTTGATCACTTACTAATAATAAATACATATATTAAACTGTTTTCCTTTGTGATGTGTCACGTTCATTTACAAACATATCTTGGAGAGGTAGAGTTTGTTCGCTTTATTACTTAAATATTCCATTTTATAAGAATGATTTTTTATTAAAATAATGTTTATACTATATAGAAATAGACAAACACATGATTTTATGTCAAGTGAAAATTTTTAAAAGTTATATTATAAATTTAAGAATGTAAATTATAAGTTTTATAGGTATAAAATTAAACTATCATTAAAAAATTAAAAAAATACTTAAATTATACGATAATTTGAATTCTGTGGAACAACCCAACATTCCCTCAATCCACCGCTATATATAGTCTACTGTATATTTTCTAAAAAAGTATTTGATTGACTCAACATAAAAAATCAGAAAAGAGGAAAGACTTAACTTTACCACATTTGATTTTTACTTTTAGATAAGTGATTTTGAATTTTAAACTTTCAGGATTTAAGGTTTAAAATCACAAGAGTTAGGGTATTTAAGGGTTTTCAAGCCAATTTATTAGGAATTTGGATCATACAATGAAATAGAAAATTATTCTATTCGAAAAACACTATCATTTGGTACCATTATTGCTTGCTAATTTGGTTGGTGTTCAAAGATCCAAAATTCTAGGGTTTATGTTCACATTAGGGTTTGTGGAATTGATGATGAATATTGATGTTTTTAGGTTGTAGATTCATTTTCAAGCTTGTTTAATGATTAAAACATGTTCAATCTCCCTAGAATTGTTTCTTTGATATTCAACCAAATTATAAGTTGGGGAAACTTTGTGTTTTGATGATATTTGATTAGGGCTTTGATTGTAGAGATGGTGTAAGGTTGGATGGGATTTCATGCTTTAATCGAATCAAAATCGAGCAAAATCATGAAAACTTAGTTTTGGAACTTTGAACCATTCGACCTTGGTCTTAAAGGATGAGGAAAATTCTGAAAAATTATGTAAGGACTGGAAATAATGTAGGAAGTATTATACAAGCCTTAGAAAAATTTGAAGACCATTTGGTATTTTTTGAAAAGTTAAAGGACCAAATTGGAAATTTTGGAAAAATGATGGGTTGTTGTGTAATTGTTCTATAATTGATGTACTATGCTGAAAATTAATGTTTAAGTTTTGAAATTGAAGTTAGGATGTGAAATTGGATTATTTTGGAAAACTTGTAAAAGTTGAGGTTTAAATCACAAATATGAAAACGTTGGGAGCTTAAGTGAAAATATTATGTAAACTTGGATTAAATGGAATTTGAGTGGTCAATTATAAGTATGAAAGTCAACATTTATGTTGTGACGTGGAAATTATATCGAACAAGCATCGGAAAATGTGTTAGAAATTTATTTTCCAAAGTATGCCTATGTTAGTAAGATTCTAACATTTGGTTTGAATTTGTATATGTTTGGTAATGATGTTCATTTAGATTGAGTGCTTGAAATCAAGATCAAATATTATTAAAGCTAAGGGGAAGCTTAAGGATGAAATGGGAACTCCTAAGGGAAGTTTGCAAGCTAAGGACACCACGTGAGTGCAAATTTAAATTGTACTTATGTTATCGAACAAACATTGGCTTGTGATGAGCTAATGACAGAGTTACTATGGTAAGGAGTGACTTCTAAAATGTCATGTTATTTGTGATGCATGCATATATGTGCATTTGGTGAGATAATAGAGTTAGTGAATAAGTTGAAAATGCAAATTGGTGAAATCTGTTTAGAATTTATGTTTTGGATAGTAAGTTTAGAAAATCACCATAAATTCTAAAAAAATATTAGAGAATGATTTTTATACTGTTGGACTAGTATAGCAGTCTAGTTTTGTTTAGAAAAAATGGAAACTGATTTGAGGTGTATACAAAAATATATGAACTTTTAACCGATGATATGTCAGAAAATGGGGCAGTAGATTTTGCTCAAAGCAGACTTTGAAAATTCACCATAAATTGTAAAAATTGAACTAGAATGAGTTCTTTATATGGATAGATTTTTATTTGAGTCTAGTTTCCATTGGTACAAATGGAATAACTTTTAAAGGTATAAATTAATACAAAATAATATTTCTTTAAAGGTAGTGCAAATTGCCGGAATATGATATTATGACAAATTTTTGGATTTAATCGAATTAGAAGCAAATGATCAAGTTAAAGCTTAGTGAGGCTTATATTTTGACTTCTATATAATGTCAAAGTGAGTTAAAAATACTTACATAACATTATACATGGATGTTCTTGTTTATGTTGGCATGATATTTATGTCATATATCATATATTTGACATATTTAGAATATGTCAAAGGTTGAATATAAAATGATTGATAATTGGTTATTATATATATGATATTTATCATGAATGATATTTCGGATATGAACTGTCCAATGTTAAATTATGATAATATACTTTGCCATGGATGAAAAAAATATAGACTATATACCAAAGTAAGTCATTGAGGGACAAGATATAGTTGGAATGCCATAGAGTCTAGCATCAGTTGCATATTGATTAAGCACTTCGATGCATATGGTGGGCACGACCATATGTGTAGCATTTCAGTGCAAAATAGTGGGCACGACCTTATGTGTAGCACTTCAGTGCATATAGTGGGCACGACCTTATGTGTAGCACTTCGTTTAATATGGTGGGCACGACCTTATGTGTAAGCACTACGGTGCATATATTTGACTCGAATACCCAGGGTCCTCATAGGATTATATTTGGGCTATGGTTTATTGGTTAATAAATGGAAAACATGCAAATAAGCTTACGAGCTTATGAGATAAATGACAAGTATATTGGTAAGAAACTTGATATCAGGTTATATCATGTTAATATATGATAATATGGTTGGAATACAGGTAAAGTGATCATATTGCATTGAATATGGTTATTCATTTAAATTTTTTTGTTGCATTACTTTAAATATTCATTTGATTGTCTCACTAAGTGTATATTTAGCGTGTGATGACTTTCATGCATAGGAAAAAAGGAAGAAAATGAGTAAGGAGTTGAGTTTGGCATCAATCCCCAAGGAAATATTTACAGGTAACAATGATAACATCCTACTGTGTTCTAAAAGTCTTAGTTGGCATGTATACGAAAATGAAATGTCTAAAATTTCTTAAAATAGTTAATATTAAATATAATTAATAGTATGAATAAATATTATGATTTTTCTCTGAATAATTATTTTATAGTAATTGTTCAAGTTATTAAACTTGAGATATTTGAATGAAACAAAATTTTACTTAGTTCAATTAAAGTAATATTTTGAATTTATGATGTGACATCTGTAACTCATATTGGTTTGAGTATACAGGTTATGGGTGTTACACAAGGCTCACATCAAAGAAAGATAGAAACGCTTCCAACTGATCCACACGACCAAGCCTTGGAAAAGAACATAATAGCAGCAGATATGAGACTACTTTTTGAATGGGATCATGATGTTATTTAGACAACATGTCTTCTGGAGTTATGACCGTCTGTCTCTTAACTTTCTAAAGGTTCTTGAATCGCGTCAATCTGATATCAGGAACTCAAGATACTCACATTTTATTGAAGACAACACATGCAAAAATTTCTATACATGATCAATACGAGATTTTGTAAATATTAAAAAATTTTAAAATTTTATTGATTATTTATAATGTAATTTAATATAGGATGATGCATTATCTTTTAGGATTAAATTTTTTATTTTATTAGGAATTTAGATTGAGTTAAAACAATTATCTTTAGTTTTTTTTAGTGTGAATTAAGATAGTATTTTATTATAATTTTCAAGCATTAGTCATACTACAACAAAGACTCCTTCACCCTATATAAAGGAGGCTCCTCCCACCACTGTAAAGACATCTTTTATTGAATACAATATATTGAGAGTTTATCTTTGCAAGTGTTAATTAATTGTGTCATCGAAGCTTTTTTTTTCATTAAGTTATTTTCAAGTTCTTTGTGAGAGATTTCCACACTTCAGTTTGTCTCTTCATTGTGATTAGGAGGGCTGATTAGAGACATTTATCGAGTTTGTCTTTTCATTGCGACTAAGAGAGTTTAGTAGGACAATTATCCATATATTTTTATCTTCCACAATTCCATCATCTTATTGTTCCATTCAAATCATTTCGCTTTCTTCATCTAGTCTAGAGCTTTATAAGTTTGATTCTTCAACAACAAGCAACATTCATTTATCTATGTTCGCATCTCTAACACAGAGATATCAAATCAAGCAACATCTTGTTAGACTCTAAATTCAATGCCAAGCTCACAGATTTTGGTCTCGCGAGGCTCGTGGACAATTCAAAAGGGCCATAAATTACCGTGTTGGCTGGCAGAATGGGGTACCTTGCCCCAGAGTGTCACATGGCTGGAAAAGCTAGCAAACAATCATATGTTTATAGCTACGACGTTATCGCTTCGAAGCTTGCTTGCGAACGAAAATCGATCGAACCAAAAGTCGGGAGGGTATAGTGAATTTGGTAGAGTGGGTTTGGGATCTTTATGGAATAGGCCAATTGCTCGAAGCTTGTGACCCAAGGCTTAAAGAAGAACTTGCAAAGCAAGAAATTAAGTAATTGATGATCGTGGGGTTATGGTGCAAGCACCCAGAAGAGAATTCGAGACCGTCGATACAACAAGCTCCACCATTGAATCTTCCTCCATTAAACCAATTTTCAAGTTACAGCAGTTATAGTTGTAGGACCAGT